GCTACAGGCTTTACCCAAATCAGGGAAAAAAATAGTTAAAAGATTGGTGGGGGAAAAGAAAAAATTATCAGGATTTTTTTTTTCTCCTCAAATGTCAGAGAATGTGGGTTTGTGTCTCTGCTGGCTCCCAGCTGGCTTGTCCCCTCCTTTGCTCTTTTGCAGAGTGGGGAGGTTGGGCAGCCCTGCTGCTATTTCTGGTGGTGATGAGCATGTGATGGGAGAGACGGTGAAAACAAAGTGTAAAAAGGGAACATTCATTAGCAATTATCCCCGCTTGCAGCTTGATTGGGGTGACTGTTGGGGACATCTGATAGCCGCTTAATGTATGTTCAAAGCACCGGCTTTAGCGAGAGGGCAAATCTGGTGGCTGGTTTTTGGAGGAGCCCAGCGCTCAGCTCCCTTTTCCAGCCGATACTCAGACACTACATTTAACCTTGAGCTCTTTCTGCTTGTGTTAAGCTGCCTAAGATCTGCTGCTTTTCTCTTCTCCCCCCCCTGCTAATCTCTTCACAGCTAAGATCTTACAAACCTGTTAGCAGCAAATTGAAGCCTGACCGGTGCGGTTGCAGATGCAGAGATGGGATGATGAAGGAGGGTGGTGGTTGCGTGGTTGGAGAGCGTATGTGGGGTTTTCAACTGTGCAAAGCGGTGGGCTGGAGCAGCAGTTGGTAAGCCGTGCCGGCTGTTTGCAGCCCACAGAGCCCACCGTCCTCCCAACTGCCTTGTCGCAAGCCCGCTACGAGGTGGCAGAAGATCTGAAAGGAGGCTGAATCTTTTTTTTACCACTGTAGTTACGTTGCATAACCTCTCTCTTTCGAGCTTTCCTGCTCATCTGCTGGATTGGAAGACGGTGGGCTTTCTCCTTCTTGAAGGACAACCTTCAAGAAGGCCTCTGGACTTCATTTGTTGTAGGGGGTCTTTGTAGCCACCTGCTCCTAAAGGCCGAGTTGCTTCCTGCTGGAGGCCATGTCAAAGCCTGGAATACTGACACTTGGCTTATTTACACCCTCAAGGTTACAATGATGAGTACCATTGAAATTAGGAAGGAACATTCCCCCCCAGCCCCATCAGACTCCTGGCTGGGTTTGATTCTTGGTCTCCTGTAGAGAGGGAGCGTGGTTTCCCTCTAAATTGATGTTTTATTAGAAAAATTGCTGTTGCAGATCCTCTTTATTGGGATATGCTCTGTCTTCTCTCTGATACACTAGATGTGGATTTTTGAGTTTTCCTACAAGTCTCAGATTTGTGGAAGTGCTGATGGGTAGTGGCCACTGTCTGTGGGATATAGTTTGTTTTCCATCTCCTAAACTTAGTTGCAGATTGTAGAGTGACGCTTCTGACCTCTTACAGCAGAAATACTGACAAATTAGTTTTTTTACTCATTAGATGCTTGGGCAGGTTGGGAAAATGTAACGGAGACAAACTTGTTTAATGTCTTGGTGGCAGTGTCTCCATTGAGAGTGTAAGTCAAATGAGGGGTTGCCAATAGGAGAGGCATCTTTGGTGTGGGACAGGTAGGTACGGATGTCCTAGCGCTGAGCTGAGCCGCAGAAGAGCCGTAGAGGTGGAGAAGTGCTGCCGTTCAGCCATGCTGTCTCTCTTGATCCTGTTGATGATGAGACGATATAGATACAGTTGGTAGGTGTCTACAGGAGATGTTGCTCACGGTGATCATGTCTTAACCTCTCGCTGCTCTCTAAAAGGAATCTCAGTTCCTACCAGCCTCCAGCAATGTGCTTCTGCCAATCGCCCTCTTCACCGGACCCTTCCTGGAGCAGTTCAGCTCATTAAACTGGCAGAAAACTGACTTTACCCAAAAGTTCCCTAAATTTCTGTAGGATGAATGAGTTTTGGGCACCCCAGTATAAAAAGGATCTAAAGCTACTGGAGAGTGTCCAGAGGAGGCCACCAAATTGGTGAAGGGTTTAGAGTGGAAGCCATACAAGGAGAGGATGAAGTCACTTGGTTTGTTCAGCCTGGAGAAGAGGAGACTGAGAGGAGATCTCATCGCAGTCTAGAACTTCCTCCCAAGGGGAAGAGGAGGGGCAGGCGCTGATCTCTTCTCTCTGGCCACCAATGCCAGGAGCAGAGGAAATGGCAGGAAGATGTGGCAGGGGAGGGTGAGGTTGGCCATGAGGAAAAGGTTCTTGAGGCAGAGGGTGGTGTAGCACTGGAACAGGCTCCCCAGGGAGGTGGTCATGGCCCCAAGCCTGACAAGATTCCAGAAGCATTTGGCCAACATGTGCCCTCAGACACGTGGTCTGAATGTTGGGATTGTCCTGTGCAGGGACAGGAGTTGGACTGGATGATCCTGGTGGATCCCTTCCAGCTCACAATATTCTGTGATTCTATGACTTCTAGAAGCAAGTCAATTGACTCAGCATCTTGTGAGGGCTCAGCATCTTGTGGAGCCCCATCTACTCCACCTGGGAGTCTCTAGGCAAAGGAAAGGGTTATGGCTTTTTCTCAGCTGCAGCAGGCAGGAATATTCTGCTTTTTTCGTTCACCAGGATGGGATAAGAGGTTTCCAGGGTAGGTACAATAGGAAGCTCCTTCCTTGCCTCCTGGGAGTGAGATGCCAGAGGAAGGAGCGAGGTTTTTAAAATTCAGGACACGGATGGATTTGGCAGATGTACAGAAACGGACCCTGGGAGCAAAGATGAAAGGCTGTGGTGTGGAAGTGTAAACCCAAGTTTCAGCTGTGGCATCTGCTTCAGCCTTGGGGATTGAGCTGGAAGCTTTTGGAGCTTGAGGCTTGATCCTGGTTTTGGATGAAGCTGTCAGTGGAGAAACCAACCTGGCTGTTGCTTTCACTGCTGATGCCTACGTACACGTTATGGGGATAGTCCCTGTGTGGGGGCCTGTAAGATGCATGAAGGGTGACACAGCGATGTCCAGGTCCACCTAGGAGATAGTGGCTTTATGGTGTGACTTACAAGGCCATGCTAGTGTGGGAGCTGCTGGGTATGTCAGGTCCTCTGGCTATGGAGGGGCCACCAGTCACCCACGTGACGCTCTGAGAGCAATAAAGCGGCGCCAGCATTTCGCACTCACCAGGCCTTGGCCGGGGATATTCACATTGGCTCTTTCGAACCTTCCAAGATCGTTCTTCCCTGCAGATGGGAAATGATACTCCTTGGCATCGGCCTGGAGCGGTGGAAGCAAGTCAAGTAATGTGGCTCAGCCAAAAAAAAAAAAAAAGAAAAAAGAGGAAGAAACCTCTCCAGATCGGTACAGCAGGGCATCCGCGTGCGATGCAGATCAGTGCGGATCTTTCTCCCCCGGCATGGGGGTTGTACAGAGCAGCCGAGAGCAGCTTTTACACGCTGTTGTAAAATGAGAGGGGTTGGAAATGCTTTCCCTGATTGATCCAATCCCAGTGTCGGGCGTCTGTAAATCTCCCTTAACCACTGGCAACGCTGCCAAACCCCACTCCAGCACAAGGAGAGCGGGTTGTTCCCTGCTCCCTTCTCCATGCCCAGCTGTTCCAGGGCAAATCCAAACTCATCTTGGCAGGTTGGGGAGAGCTTTTCAAACACTCAGCCTAGGAGTCATTTGTTAGTAACAAATGGGGTATTTGCCAGGACACGCTGCTCCATCTGGTCTGGCATCCTGTCCCCTACAGCAGCCTTGATGGATCTGTTCAAGGAAAGCAGGGGAGAAAAAAAACCAACAACAACAAAAAAAAGCAGCAGTTTTCCCATGGAAGGAAAACCGCTTCCACAGTCTGTTTGAGCAGGGTTTCCTCGGCTGGAGCATCTTCATGGCATGTCCTCACCTCTGCAGCTAATGGAGAATCTGAAGCGATGGTTGCTATAGACATTTTTTATTCCTATTTTGTGTTTTGCTTCTGAACACCAGCGAGGCTGAGCTGCATCCAGACAGGACTTTGGTGCACTTCCCTCCCTGAGTGTGGTTGGGTTTTTTAATCCTTTTCTCCCTGTGGTTAATGAGAGAAACAATCTGTTCATACTCCGCCTGTAAAATTCCCCCATGTCTTCATCACAGTGAAATCTCTCTATAGACTCCATGTGTGAAGCCAACCCTGCACGGATAGAGACAACGGCTTCTCCAAGCCATCAACTTGGCATGGTGCAAGAGTTCTTTCTGTTGCTCACCTTTTAGATACAGATGAATCTCAAGGGCTGCGTGTTCCTCCGTAAGACCATTCACACTCTCCAAATCTCAAAGCCCTTGTGTTTGGTCTGAGCTTTGTGGGGAAGAGATGGGAAGTGTTCAGGGCCAGGTTGGATGAGGCTTTGAGCAACCTGGTCTAGTGGAAGGTGTCCCTGCTGATGGCAGGGGGGTTGGAACTGCATGATCTTGAAGGTCCCTTCCAACCCAAACCATTCTGTGATTCTATGATTCTATGTCTCTGTAGCTGGGACAGCTGCTTCAGTAGAAGAGGTGGCCACTCTTCCGGTGGTCATCACCTCGTTGGGTTGGCCAACCTGTTTTGGTTGAGGTGCCAATGTGCTGTGCGTGACTGGCTGAAGTTTAGTGGGATCCCGCATCCCCAGTCAGCTGAATCTGGGAATGCTTTGGGCTGAAAAATGGTCCTGTGCTTGTCCCACCACAAAGCAGGCAAGCTTGGAAGAGCAGGGCCTCCACTGCCTCTCTAGCAACATCCTGCGCTTTCTATCAGCTTAAGCCAGGTCTGAAACCACACCTTTTAGGCAGCAAAACACAGGTTGGTGCTAAAAGGGGCCAGAAATGGTTAGGGAGCACAGGGAAGCGGCTCAAAAGGGAGCAAGTTCTGGCACAGGTGGGATGAGAAGAAGCTTAGCAAGGGGCTCTCTTTGATTAAGACCCAAACTTGCAATTATTTTGTTTTTTTTTTTCCATTAAATGTTCTTGAACTGGTTTAGTCTGAGCTGCTACAGCCTAGACAGAACCCATCTCTTCAAGAGCGATTTCTCTGCTCCTAACCATCGAGCTCTTTTCAGGCCTGCGGCAATCAGTCTGACTCTCTTTTGTGTGTGTGTGTCTGTGTTTTGCAGTATCCAGATCTGAGCCAGGAGTCTGGGTCTCCATTTGTCTTTATCTGCACTAATCCCCAGGAGATGGTTGTGAAGTTTCCCATCAAAGGAAAACCCAAAATCTGTAAGTAGTAAAGTTTCCGCAGATGCCCTCCTTGGCCTTTCGTGCCTGCTCTCATCACCACCTCTGCTTGCCTTTGCCATATGAGTTCACAACCTTTGCCCCCTTTTCTTTGATCTGGAGGTGTTTGTTTAATGACTCGAATACATCTGTAATATTTTTTTTTTGTCTTCAGTTCCCCTTTCCCCAGATGTTGCTTCCTTCCAAATACATGCCTCTTCCTGCCTCTGCAACGTTTGTGTCTGCTGCTGATCCGCTTCTGGCATCAGCCTGGGTCGGGATACGAGCTGGTGCAGCAATGCTGGGGCAGATCACAGAATCCTGGAATGGTGGGGGTTGGAAGGGACCCCCAGAGTCCATCTAGTCCAACCCCCCCTGCCAAAGCAGGTTCACCTAGAGCAAGTTGCACAGAACTGCATCCAGGCGTGTTTTTAACATCTCCAGAGAAGGAGACTCCACAGCCTCTCTGGGCAGCCTGTTCCAGTGCTCTGTCACCCTCACAGTAAAGAAGTTTTTCCTCGTGCAGTTTGTGCCCATTGCCCCTTCTATCGCGGGCCACCACTGAAGAGTCTGGCCCCATCCTCTTGACACCCGCCCTTAAGATACTTATAAACATTGATCAGGTCCCCTCTCAGTCTGCTCTTCTCCAGGCTGAACAGACTCAGCTCTCTCCATCTTTCCTCAGCAGAGAGATGCTCCAGCCCCTTCATCATCTTTGTAGCCTCTGCTGGACTCTCTCTAGAAGATTCCTGTCTCTCTTGAACTGGGGAGCCCAGAACTAGACACAGGACTCCAGATGTGGCCTCCCCAGGGCGGAGTAGATGGGGAGGAGAACCTCCCTCCACCTGCTGGTCATGCTCTTTTTAATGCACCTCAGGAGACCGTTGGCCTTCCTGGCCACAGGGCACATTGTTGGCTCATGGTAAACTGGTCATCCACCAGCACTCCCAGGTCCTTCTCTGCAGGGCTGCTTTCCATCAGGTCAGCCCCCAACCTGTCCTGGTTCCTGGGGTTATTCCTCCCCAAATGCTAGATCCATGCTAATTCCTTGCCTGTGGTTCAAAATTCGTCTCTCACCTGTGAGGATGGTGAAGGCTTGAAGCTGCAGGGGCCAGATGGATGTTCTCCATCCACAGGCCAGCAGGATGGGATGTCCTGGCAGAGCTCGCAGGGAACTGCCGCAGCATCTGTCCACTCTCCACTTGCCAGCGTCGTTAGTCCCTTTTATGAGCCACCAGCCCCTCTGCAGGCTGCCAGTTATTCCTGCCCGCTGCCGGAAAAAAGGACGGAGGAGGATGCGGCAGCTGGGGAGCCTGCAGTCAGCTCTGTCCTTATTAGCAGCCTCCCCACCACACAGCCCGAGGAAGGCACCAAACACACTTTCAGGGGATGTGAAAAATTAATTTGACAGGCTAAAAGCAGCATAAGCAGAAATAGTCTTGGCTGTTTGTTTAGCAGAGCTGACGACTGGGTTTCTGTCTGGTTTGCAGCGTGATTCTTCCAGGAGCAGTTACCTAGCGGTGCAGGAGTCACGGGATTTCTCAGGACCAGTTAATAAGGGATTTTGAAGCACAGTGTAGGGGGTTTTTTGTTGGTTTTGGGTTTTTTTCCCCTCTCTGCCCAGAAAAGCACCACTCTCCCACACTTTGGTCTCTCCCTGGGTGTTGGGGATATACCTGCCCTGCCAGGGTATGGAGCAGGGTGAAACAATTTGGTTTCTTCTCTGCTTTTTGTAGCAATATCTGTGAGGTGTGTTCAAGCAGGTGCAGCGCTCAGGTCTTGCCAGTGGCCCTGTCCTCCCCCCGGGGCGGGTCTTTCCCAGCAGGCAGGGCTGCGCCAAGTTATTTAGGATGGAAACATCTTTGCTGTGGGAGAACAGCCTTGTTGCTGCTGGTGTGCTGGAGCAGCCGCTGCATCCTTTATTTTTTTTCTTCTTTTTTCTTCTTTCTTCTTCACCAGCCCTCTTCCTCGCTCTGATACAAACTCTCTGATCCCCCTTCACTGCCACATCTGCCTGGCCACGGTTAGGAGAAGGAGAAGCTGCCATGTGGTGTGAATGCAGGGCATCCGGCTTCTGCGCATCTGCCTTGCCGGGTGCAGGCGCTGCCGGTCCCTTTCCCATCTGTCACATCGTCTCCTTTGTGTTGTGACACTTTCCTGCTTGGAGAAGGATCGGTCTAACAGGCTGGAAGGAAGGCGGCTGTGTTGCGCTGCCCGTTCCTGCCTTTCCTGCCCTCCATCCTGACAGGAGCTGTCACCAGAGCAGCAGTGGGGGAGACTCTGGAGTTGCATGTTCCCCTCCTGGAGGGGACATTATCCATCTGGGTGATATTTGTGAGAGCCTGGGGAAGGAGCAGGGAAGACTTTGACCTTTCACTGAGGTAAGGCGCTGTTTTAATAGGAGCTGGCATCAACATCCGAGGCAGTCAAAAGCTTAATTCTCCAAGCTGGAAGCAGAGCAGGGGGCAGGTGCCGGCTGACGTCCCCACCTGAGCTCGCTGGCTGCCCTGCTCTCCTTGAAGCCTGGCTCCAGCCGTGACAAAATGCCAATTTGTCTTGTTGGGAAGCCAAGCTGGAGCAGTTTTCCTTGCCAGATAACAGCATGGACCTCGCTGCGATGACATCCAAATGCTTCTCCATTGCAAATTAGTCGTTTCTAGCAGCCTGGGGATGAGAGGAAAAAAAAATAAAAATCTAAATCTAACATAGGTCGATTTTTGCTGCCAGGGTTATTGTCTCTGTGGAAGGGATGGGCACTGTGTTCACATGGTTTTGGGGAGCACGGCTGTCCCCAAACACGTTCCTGCTTAGTTTCAGTGTATGAGGACAAAACTTGCTGGTGGTTCTCATGGGAGATTTCCTTGAATCCGGGTAAAGCCTCCCTGATGCCTCCTTCTGGCATCACTCAGAAACCTCCCTTCAGCAGCTGATGGCTGGAAGAGCGCGGAGGAGTGGCGAAGGTACGCATCGTAGTGCAAGATGAGAGTCCTTAAATCACTGAGTGAAAAGAGAAGGGGGCCCTGGGGCTGTTGCCTTATTTTTAGCTTTTTCCTAAAGGTTACCCACGTGATGTTTTATCTTTGCCAACTGACAGCGCCGAGAAGCCTCCTGATCGCTTTTGGGATCCAGGAGGAGCAGGCAGGCACGTTAAATAGGAAGCGTACAGCCCCGGAGGTGACACAGTGTTGGTGGTGGAGGACCACTGTGTGGAGCAAGTGTAAACTTGCCACCTTTCTCCTGCTAAAAACCCCATGGCTTGGTGACATGGTGGTCCAACATGCTGCCTCTGGACAGTCCAGCGATGCTGGCTCAGCCTTGGGTGCCCATCGCTGTTACCAGACATTGCAAAGAGGAGCTTCTTCCCCATCCTTAAGCAGGTGGGGAAAGTCTTCTCCTGCATAGGGTGCCAAAAGGGATGGTGGATCTCCCAGACTTTCTAGGAGAGCATCTTCCAAACTGTGCGGCTCGGGGTGAGAATGGTGGCTGAAAAAAGCCGTGTCCTATTTTGCCCTTTTGCTTGGCCTCAGTTTTCATTTTCTCATTTGTGATGGTGGGAGAGCTTTGCAGATGCCCTTTTGTGTTCCACAGGCTGCAGGTTGGCAACTGCTGCATGGAGACATCGGCAGCGTCTGGCTCCTGCTTCCAATTTCCACCTGGCTGTTGCCACATTTCAGTTTGCTGATCTATGGCACGGTGACTTAGCAACCCTTGCTCACATTTTTTTAACACGTTATGGGTTTGGTGCATTGAACTTCCTGTCTGAGCTTGAGAGAGAACAAGGCTGTCCCAAAGCTCAAGCTGAAGGAGGAGGACTGGTTTCAGGGAGGCTGGTTGTTCTGCTGGGACATCCGGAGCGAAGCAGTTTTGTAACCTGCCTCTCCTGGGAAAAAGCATTGTGGGACTCTTTGTTGATCTGAAATGGAGAAGTTTTCTTGGTTTGAAGAGGTGGTGATGGTCTCTGCCTGGTTTGGAGCCATTTTCTCTGGACATGCACCTGCTTCTCATGGCACATGGGCACTTACCGGCAGTTTTTGGAGCAGTGGCCAAAGCAGGACCGGTTTGGAACCTGGTGGATATGGTGCTAACCAAAGAGGAGAACTTCTGTGTGCTGTAGCGGGGCTGGAGCAACACAGCTCTCCCAGGGACTGTGTGGGCCTTGCGTCACCCATGGGGTGACACCGGGCTTGATTCCCTGGTGGGACCTGGATGAGGTGCCTGCCAGTTCCAGCTCCATCCTACCTCATTAGGATTTCTCTGGGATGGGCTCTGTCTGTCCATCTCCTTGGGATCAATCTCTGATCCCTTTGCTTCCCCTCCTGATGGTGTGACCATGGTGGCTGCCCATGTCCTTCCTGAGGGACAAGGGGATGGTCCCCAAAGACTGGGGCCACCCTCCCCAGCTCACTGCAGGCTCTGCAGCATTTCCTGATGGTTTCTGCAACGTGGTGGAGCTCCATCCCTGCTCCTGGACAGAGACAGGATGGGATTGGGATTTGGAGGATGGGGAGGTGCAGGGGAGCTGGAGCAGGGAGGTGAGTTCCTGGGGAGATGTGGCATTAGAGGAGCTGACCGGTGCTGGCTGATGACAGAGTCTCTCTGGGAGGCTGGCTCTTCACCAGGTTAAGGTCAACTTCCCTTTCTTCTTCTCCTTTTTTGGAGGAGGGAGAGTGGGAACATACTCACTTTTTCACAGACAGAGAGGGGGACGGGGATGCTCCTTCAAGGCAGTGCGTCACCCTCCCAGCTTGCTCACCACACCTGGCTTTTGGCTTCTCCTGCAGGAAAAGTTGCCCAGATCCCATGTGTTGGTGTCCTCCTCCTCTCCCAGGTGGGAAGGTGGAGCTGGCACTGAAGCCACCAAGGGCTGTGAAGCTCAGTGGGATGAGAGGAGGCAGCTTTTGCTCCGGATCCCACCGGAGCAGCTTGCTGTGGGTGCCTGGGCTCCCCGAGGTTCTCCCCAGTGGCAAAGGCAGCATGTCCCTCCCAGCTGGTGGCCTTGGAGGCCACCAACAGCTCCGTGCAGCCAATCCCTATCACCTTCTGTACCCCATTGCATTATCATCCCCAAGCTGAGGGTTTATTGTCCCCAAGCCCAGCTTTCCACCACACCATGGAGAAACATGTCCCCGACACGGCGCTTGACGGTCCCCCACCTCCTTTGAACACGTCGACACACATCCTGCGGGCGAGCAAAGGGATTGGTTTCCCCCCTCGGCAGCGTCGGGCGAGCGCTGGATGTTAATTTTCTGTCCTCTTCGCTGAATTTCCCCCACTCCGGCGTCTCTTTGCCGCGTCGGACACGCTTGCCCCTGGCTCCCTGGTGTCGTGCCTGCAGAGGAAAACCACGGCAGCTGGAAACGCCTGGTTCCTCAAGCACGATAATTGAATGTGACAGGAACACACTAACTAGGAGACCTCGCTGCCTCCAGCTGATTTGCATTGCAAATAACATTTAAAAATAAGGAGTGATGAGGGTTTGTTGTGTCTTTTCTTTTGTTTTGTTTTGTTTTGTTTTTTAAATCCTCTCTTTACAGGGAAGCTGGATGTAAAGATCCATCAAGGAGCAAAGAAGGGGTTAATGAAGCAGAAAGCGATGGGGTGAGTTGCGGGGGAGCAGCGTCCTTCCCACCAAGCACCCGACTGCCACTGAAGGGTGCCAGGATGGTCCTCAACTCTGGAAGGCAGATGGAAGACGGATCTGAGCGCGCTTTTATTTTTGCTTTATCCACTGTATTCCTAAAACATTAAAAGAGACATGTTTTCACCAAGATCTCACCCCACAGCCTTGTGCTTCCTGGGAATTCACACGCTGCAGAGAAAGGTGGGTGGGAGATGGAGCTTGATGGGTTGGGATCCAACCAAGTGCTGGCATCTCCACATCTCCTGTGAGTGCCCAGGACAGCGACCAGTCCAGCTCTATCCATCTTGGTGGGCAGGAGGTGGCTCCATCCTGGCTTTGGCAGCGTCTCCTTCCCCAAAACACACCTTGTGGTCTTTTGACCGGCTGGGGTTGGATGAGTGGGATGGTTTCCAACAGCCGGAGAGCCCCGTTGAGCACATGTTGGGGGACAACTTGGGGTGAGAGGTGGTCTCTGTTTCTGCTCAGAGGCTTTCTGCTTGTGGGAACATGTCCTTCCAGCTCTTGGCATTACTGGGAAGTGACCATACTCACATCTCTTTCTCCTGATTTGTATCAAAGCACAAAATGGCCTGAGGTTGCACCAGGGGAGGTACAGATTGGATGTCAGGAAAAATTTCTGCACTGAAGGGGTTCTTGGGCACCGGAAGAGGCTGCCCAGGGAGGTAGTTGATTCCCCATCCCAGGAGGTATTTAAAAGATGGGTAGATGAGGTGCGCAGAGATATGGTTTGGTAATGGACAGGTACAGTTGGACTCGATGATCTCAAAGGTCTTTTCCAACCAGGCAATTCTATGCAAAGCTGCCCGTGCCTCCAGGAGCTGCGTGCCTGAGTTAAGAAAACCCGCTCTGCTTTATGAATAAGATTAATTTCTCCTTTTTCTTGAATCCTTCATATTCAGCATCTCCCCGATTTACTGTGTCTCCACTCATTACGCATCCGTGCTCAGTGGGCTGTGAGCCTCTCCTGCCACGGTGCTCCAGGCTCTGCCTCACCATGGTCTAAGTGCTCCTTGTTCCCCGGAGCCCACCCTGCTCCAGAGGGGACAGAGCAACTCCTGAGCACCACTGGCATCCCTCCTCCTCCTCCCCCCGGAGTCGTGCTGGGGAGCAGAGCAGGGCTACCAGCTCAGCTGCTTGGCATGGTCACTGGTTGCAGGTTGTCCCAGCCCTCAGTTCCTGTCACTACCCCATCCAAGAAGAGGAGGAGGAAGGTGCAAAGCCTTCGTGCCAGCTGCCTTCACCCCCTGAAACTCGTCAGCTGGATGCTGTGGCACTGGAAATCATCCCACCAGCTCTGCCATTTGCCCTGGGAATTGTCTTCTGGTTCCTTTTGCTGCCTGTAGGATCTCTGAGATGCTGGAGATGGTGGATCTGGATTCAACCCCCACCCACGTTGATCCTCATTTGGAAAACTCTCGTGGGTGTTTCAGCTTGGAGTTGCCTGGGCTTGGCGTGGAGGTGATGGTAGTGGAGCTGCTCTTTGGTGTGGGGGACATGAGCTTCTGCTGCTTCCTTCCTCCTCTGGCTGCATCCCCCCATCCACCAGCCTGTCCCTTGTGTCCCACCAGTATGGTCCCAATCAGCTGTGTTGGGACTCCTGGTGACTTCCCTGCACATGTTTCTCTTCTTGTATCATGGAGGTCCTCCTCTCTTGGGTGGATGTGCCTCAAGAGCGAGGGAAAATGGCTGTAGTCCCTGTAGGAGCAGAACTGGAGAGGGACAGGGGGCTTGGGGTGGCATCTTGGGGGTCCTGGTGCCATGGAGAGAAGGAGGCAGGAGAGGACTTGGCCTTGGTGGCTGGGTGGGAGGGGCAGGACATTGAGGTTGCTTTGCCTGCAGCTCCCTGGAGCATCTCTCCTAGAGGTGGAAGGGGTTGACCCTCAAGCAGTGCTTGTGGGACCAAGGTGGGGGAGATGGTCTCCCAAGAAGAAGACAGGTGCACAGAGGAGCATCCAGTGACGTGGTGGGCAGCGTCTTTCACAAAATATCACTGATATCCCTGCTGTCCTGCCCTGTGCCTCACCAGCATGACCTGGGACAAGCAGGATGCTTGGAACACCAAGCACCCAGGGTGGAGAAGCACCCAAGGAGGATGTACTCAGCACTGTGGGGTTGCACCCAGGCTGGGCTCCACAAGCCACAGCCCTGGGGTTTCCAGCTCCAGCTCCATGGCCACTGGATGCTGAGGTCGTTTCTGACAAAGCAGTGTTTTGATTTTCCTCTGTATTAATTACATCTATGGTTTTGCCAAGGAACGAGCAGGCTGATAGACCAACCTGCCCCTGGTTGGTTCTGCGGTCCTAGCAGAAGCTGGTTTTCCCACCCTCAGGAGCATCATTGCTGGTCTGGGATGTGCTGAAGATCAACACTAAGTATCCAGAATACCTTTTACCCAATCCCTGAAAAAAATTCCATAAAAAAAAAAAAAAATTACCTGAATTTGTTAATATAGCTTATCTTGGAGCCCACCAGAGTTGGGTTTGTGCCATACAAGGACAGTTTCTCCTCTTCATCATGATGAGGAAGAATTTCTCCTCTTCATCTCTTTCGGGCTAAATGAACGCTCTTCTCTCCCCTCTTTTCCTACTGCTTTAAACCTCTTCTGCCTCCCGTCCCACCCGCCCCAGCCCCAAAAACCAGAGAAACAGGGTGATGGCACCCAAAACCCAGCTGTTCATGGTGTCCCACCTCCTTCGCCAGGGGTTTGGGTCTCATGTTGTCCTCGTTCAGGGGCAAAAAGCATCGGAAGAAATTGGCATCTCCTTTGGTGTCCTCCTGAAACTGAGCTGGAGGAGGAGACCCACCACCCCCAAGGATGGTGGCACCTCTCTGGATGCCCATGCTGCAGCCTACGTGGGTGGATGGAGGTGGTGGTCCCTGCTCCATCACCTTCACTGAAGGACTGTGTCCTGGCTCTGAGCTTGGTGCTCATGGGGTGCTGGCTTGGACCACATGCCCCATCTTCCATCAGCACAGCTTGCTGCTGTGCCAGTTCTCCTTGCTCAGGGCCAGCTCTTCTTGCACAGGGCTGACTTTGGGGTGTCCTGGAGGTGGGGCTGGGACACCCCTGCTGGGATGAGCTGAAAGTTACTCACCGGCCAGCATAGGGCCGGTGCTGGGGCTTTGGGGTCAGGAGTGGAGGGTTTCAGGGGCAATCCACCTCCTGGGGATGAGGAGGGCTGGAGATCCCTCCTTGATGGATCATGAGTGCCATCATGCAGTACATGCAGGTCAACCAAATTACCAGGCACAGTCAGCATGGCTTTATGAAAGGCAGGTCCTGCTTGACTAATCCGATCGCCTTCTACAACATGGTCACCCACTTAGTGGATGAAGGAAAGGCTGTGGACATTGTCTACCTGGACTTCAGTAAAGCCTTTGACACCATTTCCCACAGCATTCTCCTGGAGAAACTGTCTGCTCATGGCTTGGATGGATGTATACTTTGTTGGGTAAAAAACTGGCTGGATGGTCAGGCCCAAAGAGTGGTCGGGAATGGAGTTAAATCCAGCTGAAGGCCAGTCACCAGTGGTGTTCCCCAGGGCTCAGTGTTGGGGCCAGTCCTGTTTAACATCTTTATCAATGATCTGGACGAGGGGATCAAGGGCACCCTCAGTCGGTTTGCAGAGGACACTAAGCTGGGTGGGAGTG